CAGGTGGTTGATCAGGAAGAACTCCTAGCTGTGCCTACCAGCATATTTGTTTCAGCATGAGGGCAGACTTGAAGATGCAGGAGGGGTGTTCTATAGGAATTCCATCTTCCTTTGCAGGCATTCTGTCCATCTTAAGCGTTTGTACCTCATGCTGGGGCCAGGAGGACAGATTGAGGATTATTTTGGTATGTCTTCTGTTGCGCTGCTCAATAGTCTTCCTACGTGAGCTGACATAAGTCTTGGGTGTGCTGTTGAGGTCCCCCAGATTATTGGCTTTGGGAATATCTACATTCATGCTGAGGGCCCCACATCTGCTGCGGCATAGGAGTTCATGGTTTCTGTGACCACAGGACTGTCCCAACATGTCCTCCACACAACACATGTAGCCAGGCATACTCGAGATGTGGGGGTGGTTCTGCTTGACATGGAGATGGTGATCTTACTTCAATCAGTCAGTTGTTTTGTCATGGTCAGAATTCTACCTGCTGAGGTTCAGATCTATTGCAGCTTTTCTCCTTCGCAAAAGTAGGGGACCAATTAAAATGGTTTATATGTATGTGTGCTGTGTGTTTGCATGTTCATGGTTTTTCTGTTATGTACAATGTGGTTTTAATTTATGAAAACTACCCAAAGAGCATGGGCTACTGAGCAGTATAGAGATGTAATGAATGAAAGGAAATCTCTGGAAATTCAAAGGGTTCTGAGGTAGCAACATGCCTGGCCCAGTAGCAAACAGGAACCCAGTGCACTTCCTCTAGTAAAAGAGTTACACTTATTCATGTATGTGTTTATTTTTACATGTTATATTTATAGCCCACCGTTTTCCCCTTCAAGGAACCCAAGGTTGCTTACATGGTCCTCCTCTCCATTTCATCTTCACAACAACCCTGTGAAGTAGGTTAGATTGAGAATAAATAATTGGCCTAAAGTCATCCAGTGAACCAAGTAAGCTAGCAGTGATGAATATAGGGCTACCCCCAAACTACCAACCTGATCTTTCAAAGAGACTGTAATGCCATCCAGATTAGGAAATGAGCCTATCTCCTGTACCTGGGCTGGCATTCTGCCATCACTAGCCTTGGCTTGCATAAATCATCTTCTAAAGCCACCTCAATTGGGGGTCATAACTACACCTTGAGGGAGAAAATTCCATAGTTTGCCAGTGTTCTCTGAAATACTTCCTTTAATCTCTCTTGAATTCCACACTATACAGCTTCACTGGATCTCTCTCCCTCGCTCACTCATACTGAGTGTTACACAAAAGGAAGAATTCCTCCCTATCCACATCACACCATGCATACGTTTTATACACCTCTATCATGCTCCCATCTAGCTAGCCTGCTTTCTAAGCTAAAAAGCTCCAAATATGGTAATGTTTCTTCCTAGAAGGACCGTTCCAGTCCCTTGATCATTCTGGTTTCCCTTTTCTGCACTTTTTCCAACTCTACAATGCCCTTGCAATGACCAGAACATAACTGCAGATAATGTAACAAGTGGATAACTTTTTGGAAGAGCTACATCCGTTTTACTGAAAATGAGAGCCACCTCCTTCTACATAGAGAGAAGAAAAACATGGTGAGGAATGATGATTTGAGATAAAGTTATTACTAGATGTCACTGTAGAGGTGGCTGCCTCTTAGACTAAAAGGATTTATAATCCTTGATCAGTAGAGAATGGGGTAGATAATTTTACCTGAACTGTGTCATCTCCCTTCAGTTGGACAAGGCAGAGGAGGATCCAACATCACATGGGGACACCTCCAGAAGGAGGAAGGGCATCATTCTGCAGCGGGGACAGCTGCAGACTTTACGGGGCCTGGACAGGAGTCCTGGAGTGGCCCTTCTTGCTTTGTCTGCATGCGTGCACACAACAGCCGAAGTCAGCAAGCTGCTGCTACAGGCCAGGACAGGCTAAAAAGCTGTCAATAAGAGCAGCATGGGAAAGAAATGCAGTGCTGTACTAGACTACCAGGGATATCACAGATGCTTACTCACACCTCCTCCTTGACTGCCATCAGCCTCCTCCTACCTTGTAGGCATCATTGATGCTATTATGCTGCTATGCAAGGAATGGAATACAAGATTGCCAGAATTGCAGGAATGAGCTCATGATGTTTTGAGGCAGACTCTATTCCACCGATCACTCTTCTTCTTCTTCTCTGGCAAGGCGTTCTAGCCATGCAGTGTCATCTCAACACACCTGCCTAAGATCTGCATCTGGGCTAGAAAAGGCTGGCCAGGCTACTGTTGCGAACAGCAACAGGACAGGGACTCTTGAGTTACCAGACTGCAAAGCCATTAAAGTAAAACACAGAAGGCACTGATGACCAGCAAGGTTCCTGCAGAGTTAGTCTGGCTAGCCAGCCCTGGAATTGCATCTCCTTTTTCCTTTCAGGATGGTGGCATAATCACCATATTTTCTAAAAGGGACCTACAATGATGGTAGGTGGATCACTTGCAAGCGCTTTGCTGGCTTACGAGTCCTGGCAGCTGCCTGATCATGCCAATTTTGAAGTATGGTCTCTTCAAGTGTCTAAACTGTGCTTTGGTATACATTTTGAATCATTAACCAATATTAAGGTTTTAAACTGTGGTTACCACTAACCACGGTTAAACATTATGTCTGCATCCAGTCCTAATGGTCTGATTCGGAAAAACACCAGGCAACATCTCCAAGGGAGATTCATGGCAAGTTAAAATGCTGGAGGAGACAGGATGCTTTAGCAGAGACCAAACTACTCATTTTCACAGTGGACAGTTTTACTTCCCAAACTTTAAGGAGAATACATAATGGGTTATAAAACTGTAATCCAAACGCACTAAGGATAACCTGCTGGATATGAAATATACGACCTTATTACCCCTTATGATTTCATTAAGGGCCAACAGTAGCAGTGCAGGTTTGAATCTCTAGTGACTTAGCTATAATTTTGTACAGACACAGCTGTAAAGGGCAGGGCATTTCTTCAAATAAGGTTATAAAAAAATAACGAACACACAGAACTGCAAGAGATTTTTCTCCTCCAGGAATGGAAAGACAAGACATAAAATGCCACTCAACAGATCCTCATTTATCCAGAATTTCATATGTTCACGTTCTCCTATAAATATGTGTTTTAATAACCCATGTACTCATTCATGTCTCCTCATGCACTGACTAGCAAATGCAACACATTTTTAAATAAAGAGGAAATGCAATTAAGCTTTAACCAAGGTGATAGATTTGACCTTCGCCATATTTCCAATACCCATAACTTAAGTCAGCAAGAATATTGTCTTTACAACATCATAACCTGAACAATGTATATTTTCTCATTTGGAGACAAGACTGTGGCTACGTGGGACACGGCACAGAAATTCGTGAGAATCTCAGACTGTTTTAAGTATCTGGTTCTCAAGACTACAAAGATGTTCCTGCAACTGAACATGTAGGCAATTCTTCATGGCATTTCAGAAGTGGCAAAAATGGAAAGAACAATATTTCATTGCTTTGCGTGTCTTTTTGACCTACTCTGCATCATTAGTAGAATGAATTATTTGGGGCAGGGGAATTATATTGGCATCATATAGTCACAGAACTTTGCATTTCCTCAGTACAGAATGCAGACAAACCTAATCACTCTGAAGTCACTTGCATTTTCTAAATGAATTGTATGGGTTTAGCCCACAAATCCCTTTCTTAGCTAAAAGCAGAACACAGCATACTGACTCCTACAAGAGTATGTCTGGCTTTTCCTTGCTAGCCTCAACAAAGGCTTTTCTCACTGCATTCCCGTGTAGCGCTTTGTAATTTTCCTCAAGGGCTCATCCAGGGTGTAGCTACCCAAACTGTTGGTTTCACTGCTGTGCATTAAATCTGAATTGTGTAAGCCTAAGAAGCAAAACATTGGCAAACTGCTTGCCTTATTACAGCATTAATTGATTGTCTGGCCCAGACTGGTCATGTGCTCATTGCAGTCTGCATTGCAAACAAATAGGGACCAGGAAGGAACAAGAAACCTAGAAGCACCAGCATGTGCACACTACCATTTAAAACCACCACCTGTGCTGCCCTTAATCCATAGGCTTCACCGGATTTCCCTGCAATGCAGTTTCCACACACACATTGCAGTATTCTGTGCTGCAGGTTTATAACTGAAAAACTGTTAATGTATTCAGTATATATGTAATTGGGAAATAATACTTAGTTGCTTAGCATGGGGATCTAAATACTCCTCCTTGGTCGCCCAAGTGTTAGCCAGGGTCTACTGCAAGAACAGGGCTACTGTGAAAGAGGCATTCCATCAATATCAAAAAAGCATCTGTTTCCAGAAACCCTACAAGATTAATCTTCAAAATCAAATCCCCTACCACTTCCACACAGAACTGGCACTTCTGTTGTGAGCATCCTCCAGTTACATCATCAATGGTCAGCTATTTGGGTAGTACATCCTTAGCAGAGAATTCCTAAAAGTGCCTTGTCACTGCTTTCAGAGCTATTTCTCCCAGACAAAGAGACAGGGAATGTACACGGTAGATATGGTGTAGAATTGTTTATTGTCACAATTAGAAAAGGTCTCTAAAAGGAATTCTGCTGTAGCCTTTCAAATGGTAAATTGCATTTCCTTAGATCTTAATCTGCTCTAGATAGTACTGAGAGGCTTCCCTGCTTGATTGTTAATCTTTATAATCTTTATTATATTTTAAAGGCCATAATTATTTTAGCGATTCTTTTCTTTACAATGACCGTTTGCAATTAGCTCATCCTGTTTTACAGGGTAGCTTTCCCCGAGAGGAGTGTGAAAATTGGCACAAATGAAGCAGAGGCAACCTGAGGTTTTGTTTTAAGAAGAAACCTTCTCAACTCCTGATATTTTAAACTTAAAACCCTGAAGTTTTTTCCATGCAATTTTAAAGCAAGGAAAAACAAGCACGTGCCCATGCAGGCAGTGCTAAAAGGAGCTTATCACTGAGACAGAGAAAGATACCTGGCAGTAGAAATAAAAAGGCAGAAAACTCACCTCTCTCTTCTTTTTGGCTTTGATGTCCTCAGTATTGTTGGCAAGGGTTGACTTCCGCTTGGTGCTCTCTGATTTCTCCCGGGGCTTATTTTCACCTTCCTTCATTTTTTTGTATTTTTTCATAAACTCAGAAATCAGTTCAGGGCAGTCAAGGTTCTTCTCAGGTTCCCAAGTATTGTGCTCCCTGACATAATAAGAGAAGGGCAACCATGTGGGGGAGAGATAACAAAAGAGAAAAAAAATTGAAAGTGTTCCCATCATATGATTACAGACATCAATTGAGAGAAAACCTGAGTAAGTGAAGAATTCTCATCTAAAAAAGATCTTTAAAGGAGAAAAAAAACTATTCCACCTTCTTAGAGAAGAAAGGTCATTTGCAAAACAAAATACAGTAGACTTGATTTTCATGAACCTTTACCCAGAAGGTTAAACTGCATGCTATGTTAAATGCATACTGTGTACCTGATCTAACCTTTTCTAAAAACTTCAGTGTAAGTGTGTAGAGCCCTGAAACAGACTGGGACCACCACATGCACCACTCCTCCATGTTCAGGGACTCTACTAGTGCTAAAGGAGCTGGGGAGCTGGGGGGGGGGAGAGAAATAAATTCTGAATGAAAGAATTTCAGTGAAAGAAAGAAATTCTTTCTTTTTTCGGCCCCCATTAAGGCAGAAAGCAGCTGGATAGGCAGATTTAAACCACCAACCCATGTGCAGTGGTCCTGATCCACACTGGGGCCTGGAACACTTACACCACCACTACAAAAATTGGGATCAGAACCACTATGTGGTTTAGCCCAAAAAGGGGTTGTTGTTAATCTCTCAGTGTTTAAAATACAGCTCTGTGGCAAGCTGAAGTTTGTTTCAACCACGGTAGGAAGAGTTCCAAGCACACAGTCCTCTGATTTCTAAGAATTTTATGGAGACACTTAATTAAAGTATCATCCGTCCCTGCCACCTTTATTCCTTCACAGGGCTTGTGCTTAAAAATGGATTGGCGGGAGTGGGCAGAGATTTGAAACTATCCTACTCTCTGGCTTCTAGACATAGTCCCTTATACATTCAAAGGGTGATGAATAATTAGAAACAATAGAAAAGGTATTCAGAGAGATGGGTAGTAAGGGTATAAGGGAATTATCACACAATTGGTTATGTCTGATGTTCCCACAAGTTCAGGGAAATACCTTGTATTTCATAGTTGCTTTAATGCATAAAAAATGCAAAGGATTTATTCCTGAGAAATACAAGCTGCCCAAAAAACAGTACCAGAGATATTAACTAAATACTAAATAGCAACTATATCATACCATTTTTACTGGGGCCAGTGAAAAGCGAGCACTTGAATTTCAAAGAAGACTTAAGCATAATGTTAAACAAAGAAAAGGGAATGTGGGGAATGGGAGAGAGAAAGATATTTCCCGGCATTTAAACTAGTATATGAAATCACAGGCACATTGGAACACTGAAGCAGTGCCTACTCTTCCCTCAAAATTATACAAGTAAATAGTTTCTAATAAACTTCCTCAACCCAGTGCTTTTCAGACTGAAAAAGTCATGCTGCCTGTGAATTGGGCCATGCTGCCTGTGAATGACAGGCACTGCATCTGGTGGGCACCAGAATGAGGAAGCTTCTAATAGAGCATGGTCTCAGAAGTAGACACAGAACCTTTTAAAATAACTGAATCATTGCAAGCCCAAAAAGTACAGAAATCACCTCCCTTTTGCTCTAGTGCTGATTAAGGTTATAAAGACATTCCTTCTGAATTGCTGCAGAGGAGGGCAATGTCTCATTGTGTCTGCTTGGTAACTTGCCTTCCAGGATTGAGTAGTGTGCATCCATTTAAAACACCTCAGTCTCAAATCTGGACCTTTTAAATAATGAACCATAACCGTACTTCAGGGGATCAAAAAGCATGCTGCCAGAACCCAGGTCAAATATCCAGGATATATTTACATACAAACACACACGTACGACAATCCTTTGACATTAACTATTTTTTAAAATCAGGATAGGTTAAAAGGGCTGTATGTTCCTTGTGCTAAAACCGCAAGCTTTGAGAAATTTATTTTGATCTTACTAATTATGAGGAGAAGCAAAGTATGCTGTTCACTGAAGTTGGAGTGCTTAATCCCTGGAAATTCTGATCAGGTATCCTGACTTTGGAAATTTTAACAAGCATCATCCACAACTTTTAAGCTTAATTATAATCAGCCTTAAGGGCTAGAAAGGTATTTTTTTTAATTGAAAGCAGAGATATTTAGGATGCTCAGGTTCATCCCCAGTACCAAAATTCTGTACTTGTACAACTGCGGAATTAACATTTCCCTGTATGGAGCAGGGAGAGAGTAATATGCATTTTTCCTAAGCAATCCAAAGAAGGGCCACCGGAGGATATGATCAAAATGCCCTGCCCCACCCCTGCAAAAACAGAAAACTCAAAATGAGGAGGAAGATTATTTAGACGATAGTGCTGGTGAACAACTCAAGTGGAATTACCAACTCTTGTGAAGTGAGAGAGGGAACGCAGATGCCAGTATTTCCAAAACCCACTTTAAAGGTCCCAGGCTCCTGCCTCGTGACCCACTCATTTAAATGGATGCACGCCACTCATGCCTGGAGTGAGGAAAGCAAAATCCCACCCATGAAGGTTTGGGGGATTGATGTTGTTTTCAAAGGAACACTTGAATAAGGGCAATGGAGGTTAAATTTGAAACACTGCCTGGAGCTCTACTACCAAGAAAGCTCAAAGCCCATGTCAGAAGGAAAGTTGGACTTACTCAGAGAATCCTTTCCACTTGAGAAGATACTCCACTTGACCCTTCACAACACGCCTGTCTAGAACCTTCTCCACAACATATTCCTCCTCATCTTCAGAGGACGAACTATCTGCTGTCCTCTTGTTTCTCTTTCCCATAGCGCAGAAGTTGCACCTAATGCACCAAGGCTACCCAATTCCTGCAAATCGGAAGTGAAATGTTAATTGGTGGTAACTGAAAAACGGCATTTGGTTCCAGAAATCTTATACCGCATCACCAACCATGATGGTACGCAACTCAAAAGTCTCTCTGACTACTTGCTAATATTCAAAGCCTACAGGAAAGTCTGCAGGGAGAAGAGACCAAAAATTACTATAAATAAAACATGGAAGAGTGTCATACAGAAATGAAATATTAGGTTTTTCTCTCCCTGGTTCAAACAGAAGTTTTTAAAAGAAGGGTGCATGTTACACATGTAATATTCCATGTAGCCACACACCATGCCAAGACTACCTATGTTCAACTGAAGTATGTACCATGCTGGTGCTAGGTATTCAGCACTGCCCCAACTGAACTAACTGTCATGCTCAGCAATTAAGAAAGGAGGTTGCATTCACCTCAGAGAAAGTAGTCTAAGGTAAGATTTCAAAGGTTATAAAATATCAGAACTTAGCACCCCAATCCTGATAGAAGTTGATGAATTATTTGATTTGAATACTCATTAGAAATATGAACCTCCAAATTGGTGGGTAAGTGGGTGGGTAGCTGCAAGCTTCAAAACCAATATACCAATTGCAGCATTCATTTTCTCCTACAGGAACAAATCACTTCTAAAAAGAACCATAAGATTCACTTTAGCCCCCACTTGCATTAAAGTTCTTTCATTTAGGCAGAACTTTAGCAAGTAAAATGATTTGCCACCCTCATTTGTTTTTACAACAGCAGTGCAAGGTTGATCTGCACTCTCATTTTTTGCAGGTCGGGATGCAAGGCTAAAAGACAGGCCAAGGATATACAGCAAGCTCATGGGACCATAGAGATATAACCCCAGTTAGCACTGGGTCCAATGATAGGATGGCCAAGTGGAAAAGAGGACAGGCAACCTGCACCTTTAACAGTTGTGCAGAGGAAGGGATTTCAGTAAGTGTACCTTGTACAACCAGCGACACTGCTAAAATCCTCTTTCAGTGTCCTCTTTTCCACTTGACTCAACATTGAACTGCACCTGGAAACCTTAAAAGAGTGATTCAAAAAGATAAAGTATCCCACTTTAAAAGAGATTTATGTCTAATTCTATTAGTTAAATTTCTCAGCTCTCTAGTACAGAAAAACTGAACGCTACTGCCTATGGTCCAGGAAAGGAAGGGCAACAGAGTGTCCTGAATATAAAGACTATGGGTGTATGTCCTTATAGTCCCTTTACTCCACATGTTAAGACCAAAGAGAAGAATATAAAACTCGGGTTTTAACACTTTGTGCATAGGAATATTTACTGGGGTGGGGGTGGGGCTAGAAGTAATACTGAACTAATTGTGGACTTCAGGAGGGAGTGGTATGAGTGGGAGAGTTAGTTCAAAAAATAATGGCTCAGAACTTCTAGAGAAGGTTCATTCCACCAAAATGGTACAACTCCTTAGTATTTGTGAGTATCTTAACACTAAAAATTATTTGCCCAAGAAACAGGTAGCAGGTATTGTACTTCATTTTGTTTTGATGATAAATTAAGGAAAATATAAATATACATTGCTAAAAATGAATATAAATCTATGGTGTTGCGATAAACAGCTTGCAGGGAAAAACACAAGTGAGAAATGTTTACCTGTAGAACAGTAAGGCAGATCTTTAATTTTTATTCTATTTAAATAACTTGTTCAAATGCTGTCCCACATCAGAATTGCTAACATCTTATCATGTTACCCTAAACATGCATCTTCTGATGAGAAAAATCAAGATGCTTATACATGCCAAAAAACAGTTGCACGTTCCCAATTTTTTAGAGTATGAAGTCTTTACTTGGATTATGCAAAACGATTATTAACAAATTGTTTTGAATGTACGTAATCTTAACAAACATGAGAATGCTTGATTGAAAGACAAAGTTGAAATAACTAAACATTGAAAGGAATTGAAACTTTCAACAGATGAGAGCCTCACCGCCACAGTTACAATAAACTGGACTGTAGTCATGCTGGTATTCATGGATCAGTAGTTAAAGTTCTGTCACAGCTAGTTATAAAAAGGCATATTTTTCCAGGGATTTATAACCTGGCTATAAAAATTCACTGCTGCTTGAAATATGGGCTTATGAGGTCTCAGACCCTGAGTGAAGTTTAATACCCCCCAAAAAAGGTATGTGTCTGTGGAAGAGAAATCAATTACACCATTTGAGTTATAAGACCAAAAGAAAAAAACAGTTATAGTTGCTTTGTGCTCTTATAAATTACACAGCTTCCAATTTTAACAAGTTTGAATTTAGCAAATTATTAGTCCATAAACACTGTGTGGTCCAGCTGCACTTGGTACAGAAATTCTATTTAACTTTTACCTATGGATTGTCCCTGACAGCCCCACCCTTACTGTGAACCTTTGTCATTGTCAAATCGGCACATTCCTATCACAATTAATTGCACACTCCATATGCAGACCTGAAATTAGGTGTTGCAGTCTTGAATGAAAGAACACACGTGAGCTTATAAATGGGAGTTCTTAATAATGTCCCCCAAACAGAGAGACATTACAAGTGCCTTGAAAAATGCATATTTTATAATGCTATAAACTGTGTTTTTAAAAGAAATTAAGATAAAACAATGAGGCTTATTTTGACAGAAACCAGGAAATTTCATGTTCAAACAAGTTCCATGTTCTAACTGGAATTTCTGACCTGTGTCAGTTTAAGTGAAACAGCTAACATTCTTAAACACTTATTATAACACATTCTTTTCTATGGTCCTGCCTGGTAAGCCTATCCCAGGGTAAGCACAGCAGAACAAATGACACTACCGGATTCCCAACAAAGAGGAGTTAGTTATGCCTTCTCAAGAAGCCCATGACAAGTCTACTCCTGAACTGCAGCTATTGGGCAGGCTGTTATTTACCGTAAAGATTATTCAAAGCTGGTACCCTATGCAAGAGAAAATAATACGGAGGCAACAGATGAAGACAGCATGCAACAACTGTTATGTGTTTGACGTTTTGCCATTCTGTTAAGGACAGCTGTCTGAAAGTCAAAGATTTCTAATTGTCTAGCCTTCTCAGAGAATGGACAGAATAATACACTGTATTCCACTGGTGCTTCTGAGGCACTAAAGCTCCAGGGTAGCACCAAAGAGAGGCGGGGGGGATTCTACTCCATTTGATGGATCAACAGAACTGCCAACAATGGCTGGAATCATGCTGGCATTTTACAGCAATTTTAACAACATGCTGTTAGCCACTTTGTGACTCTATAATGCAAGCATTTCTGCTTGCCGCTGGTAAAACCAACTGAGTTAATATTGTACACAGCAATGGTAGTTCCTTACACCCAGTTTTTAATCTCTGTTATCTTGCAATATCATGTCTAGGAAAAAGATCTCATTCAGTATATGTTCAGAAGATTAACATTCATTACATATTCTAGCAAGGAGGGGGACACTGAACCATATACATTTAAACCATGTTTGTATTTAATAATTTGTGAACCTTGAGCATGGTAGTCCAGCTAATGATTATTAAGTGGCAGCCCATAAAGTTCTCTATTCCTCTTTCTACATCATACTGAAATGCAGGATTTAGACCACCAGTGGCATCATCTAATGCCACAGGAACAGAGTTCCATTCATGTAGTGGGATGTCTCCCCTCTCACACACACCATTCTCTACAACTAGTATTGTCTGGAAGATCATTGAACGCTGCAAAGCAGATTTGCAGGTGTGCACGGAGGCTTCAAAAGAGAAGAGGGAATCTTTTCTGCCAGCAGTATCATTCCACTGGCTAATGGGCACAGCTGGAAGCATCCTACCATCAACAAGTGTTTACAAATTTCATATTTAATTGTTCATGTTTGAATAGTCTTACCTAGTGCTTATACTCAGCAAAATCCCAGTAACCCTGAGAATGGAACCAACAAGGCATGGACAGATCATATTATGAAGTCACTTTCACTGCTGGATCCATAATATGAAAGACAGCCAGGTTTGGATGCACTCTAGTTTGCCCTGAAATTTCTTTCAGTATCCCTGTTTTTCAGTGTTAATAAATCCCAAAAACTGTGGATTTAGAAAAGAAAGAACTTGCAGCATCGAACACCAAACCAGCTTCTTGGCACATACAAATTTCTGTGAGGAACTTTTAGTGCAGCCTTCTCCCACCTAGAATCCTTCAGATATTTTGGACTACAACTCCTAGTATACCTGACTGGCACTGAGAAAAATTGACTTCTAGTTGTCACCAATCAGAAGAAGGCTTCACTAAAGGTTCTTCACAAATGTTTGTGCATCTCAAAGAGCTCTCCTGGACCAACCACTGTTAAGTGTTTCATTTAAATCCAGTGATAAAAAACTGCAGAACTAGATAAATTAGCAGTGCCTGGCTTTGAGCTATTTGAAATACATCTGTAAGATAAATGTGGTTCATTCTTTAACATTTATTAAGCCAAGTGGTTAAATACTTTGTTATGATATTCTTCAAATAGCTAAGAGTGGCAAATGAATAAGCCTGTGAATTCATATGTGTGACTCATTCTAGCAAAGCACATGAAGACTTTTAAAACAACTAACACCCAGTGGTAAAGGGATGTATGCAGGCCAGCCAACTGCAACCAAATCCAATTATCAGCAGGCATTGTGACTTAGGGAGGATAGGGACAATTGGGATTCTCTTCACAGGGGCCAACCACCCTTGTAATTACATTTCAAGGCTCAAGAGCACTGCTAGAGTCTGTAGCCAAAATTATTCAGTGGCTGAGTTCACACAATATGACAGCTCATGCCCAGAGTTAAGTATGATGAGTTGAGTGAGGGTTGTTGGTGAACTGTAGGTTGCTATTGAACCATGACACATATTGTATGAACACAGCCAATCATGGTTTGTTTGGGAGTTCTGAAATATGAGTTGTTTGTAGTTAAGAAATCATATTCAGTACAACTGGATTCATACAACAACTCATAGTTCAGTCAAAACCTTGGGTATGGGTTGTTGTGTTATGTGAGCCCAGTCAG